CCCCCGGGTGTCCGCAGGGACCCGGCGCTGTCCCGGTGAGTCCCGTGCCGTCCCGCCGGGAGCAGCGGGCGCAGCGCCTGGGCCGGGCCGCTGCGGCCCCTCCGCGGGACGCGCAGCGCTCGGAGCTGTCCCGGAGGCTGAGGCACACACGGCTGGTTGCGCTGCTCCGCTTGGCAGCTCCCCGTGTCCGAAGCTATTGCTCTAGCCACAGCAGAAGGGCTGCGCTGCTACGGCTTCCGAACGGGGACGCTGTTGGCAGGAGGTCTGGAAAACAAAATAAGGCTCTTGGCATCTCCGGAGCTGCTGCCCTGGCGTGCCGCTCCCTCGGCATCCTCGCGGGAAATTTAAGGTAGTTCATTTTATTGCTAACACTTTTCTTATCGCTCTCCTGTGTGCCCTTTTCCCACCAGCACTTCCTCACGCACTCTGAAATAACTTCTAAGAGAAAGGCAGTCTTCCTAAATCATCGGGATTTTACCTAATGACAGGACATGTCTTCGGTAGGACCCTCCAAACAAAAACATTTTCCCGTGTGAATAACACACAAGGGATGGCCGTGGATTTGTGCCCCCAGCAGCAGGCACCAGCTGGGATCTGGCCTGCAACAGCACGAGTCGTCTGCAAACTGGGATGTACTGGAGCTGCTCCTCTGTGGTCTGAAACGGTGAATCATCCCTCATTTTGTCATCTCTCAGGGTTTTCCAAAAAACTGGAAAAGGTGCCTCAGTGAATAAGGACTTTCAATTGCTCGATGCCCTGGTGGGAAGGAGTGGGGGCTGGCTCAGCTCCTCTCCAGTCCTGGCTCAATCTGCTCAGTCCCACCTTGTTCCACTCGCTGGACTCACAGCACCAAACTGCTCCTGGCTGCTCTGTTTCCTCTCAAAGCAGGTTACATTTTTATTCACCATAGTTATTTTTTCCTGATCGTCCTTTAGGAGCAAGTTTATGATGAATCAAAAGAAACCACTTTTAAAATGCATTACATATAGGTTGCACCATTTTAATTAGGATAAGTTTAAATATCTCCTGAAATTAAGCCAGTGCATATTTCTTCAAGGAAGAAGCAAGTGAAAATACTGGAGGTCCAAAGGTGTGGTAGGATGTATGAGCAGGAGATGGTGCAGTGTGTGAAAGTACAGCAGTGTTTGTGGAAAGCAGCATTAAATGTACAGAAGAGATCTATACATCAAAAATTTGCTTAGAAAATAAGCATTGCTTTTGTGGAGTGCTACAGCTAAATTAAATTTGGATTTTTAATGAATGCTTCTACCTGAAAGTTTAATTAAAACATAGTAGATATTAAGATTCAATTTGCTGTTGTACAAATATAAAGAATAATTATTTGTGTTGGAAAAAATAGAAATCCACCCAATACTACTTTTTTTATGAGTCACAGACTTTATTGATTTTATCAGAGAACATTCCATGCAGTCCTCACTTAGTTGCCCCGCTCCTGAACTTCATTTGTATACAACCATCTCCAGAATTTTCATAAGAGAATGGAAAGCTAGACATATGATTCTGCAATTAGTCCTGACTATGAAACAAATTTTAGTGCCCATTTTTCTAATGCTGTGACATTAAACTGGGTTTAATTAATCTGGTTTCCCTAAAAACCACCCTGGAGGAAACTGGATTGCTTTGTAACTTTAGAAATAAAAGTTACCTTCCCACTGGATGGAGAAAATGGCAAGTATTGCAATTTGAATGTACATTTGTGCACAGGTAATCTGTAAAACATTAATTTGTATTTCTCTCCACTCACTTATTTTAAATTGAGCCGTAATACACATAAACACACAGGGTAAGGAAGTGTAATGGAATGTTTTATTTAATAAAACATGATGTATACTGACTCACATTGGACTTCCTTCAAGTCAAGAGGTGAGGACCTACCTAGGAATGCTTATAAACTTGTTGCTGAAACTGCCTTTGGGCTTGAGATTTTTCATAGGGAAAAATACTTCTAGTAAAGTACAGAATTTCTGAATGTTTGTATTCATTGTATTAGAAAAATGTTTTCCAAATATTTTTCATGCATTTCATCACAAAAAACATTTCTGAATATATTTGTTGCATTTTAATTTTTTGAGTTATATATGTACAGAATAAAAAAAAATAAAAGAAAAATCTAAGATATCATTGTGATAATCTCATCTGATCTTTTAAGATACAATCTTTCCTGAATTATTTTTTGTTTGAGATAGAGAATGGTCTTTAGAAAAGTTAACTTCTTACCATGGTTTCAAAATTGACTGAAAGAAAAATCTACCACAGAACCTGCTGAGCTGCTCTTCAGTTCTCAGCACTGCTCAGACCTGTGCCCTGATTGCAGCCCAAGTTTGTCATTAATAACTCGGCACACAGCAAAGTCCCTCTGCCCTGTTCAGCTGCTTGGAGTGCTAACAGGGCACAGGCATGAGTAACCTATTGTCTTCTACAGAAGTGCTTAGAAAGGAGCACTATTTCCTGCTTATGTGTCATGGGTTTGTCTCAAATACACACTTTCAGTGCCTTCAAATACAAAACTTAACCATTTTAAGTTTAAATTTAATATCAAGATGCTACCTACCAATTCCGATAAGATTTTGAGATAACTTCTTAAAATGAAGAACTCTTTATCTATGGTACTGGAATTCACTTTACACTATAAAAATATTCCTTCTGCTGCTGATTTTAAGTATGACATAGAAATGATAAATTGGAGAGCACAAATATGACTAGAGAACTAAGAGCTGTCCCAGGAATAGCATAGGTGTAGGTTAGAAAGGACCTCTAAGATTCCCTCAGTGCTGCCAAGGCCACCACTAACCCATGTCCTCAAGTGCCACATCCACACATTTTTTCCCTCCAGGGATTGGGAGTCTGCCCTGGGCAGCCTGACCACCCCTTTCCATGAAGAAATGTTTCCAAATACGCACCTTGAGCCTTCCCTGGCCCAGCCTGAGGCCGTTCCCTCTCCTCCTGTCCCTGTTCGCTGGGAGCAGAGCCTGATCCCCCCGGCTGTCCCCTCCTGCCAGGGACTTGTGCAGAGCCACAAGGGCCCCCTGAGCTCCTTTTCTCCAGGCTGAGCCCCTTTCCAGCTCCCTCAGCTGGTCTTCACAAGATTTCTACTCTAGACCCTTCACCAAACGTGGCTCCCCAGCTTGGAAGGCAGGATGTGTCTAATTTTTGTTTGATGTACTTCAGTTGCAAATGAATTTCATTTTAAATATGGCTTATAGAAATTTTGGAGCTTGCAAAGCTAATTGTAAATACTTGTTTAATAACCTAGAAAGGACTTGATGAATATTTCCTTGAAAGGACTTAGGAATATTTATCATCAAGGTTAGAATTTAACCCTTAAGTGTTTCTAGGGGGTGGTTTTCTATTCCTAGACATTTGTGCAGATTTTTTGTTTGTCTATTTTGTCTTTTGTTTTGTTTTTGTCATTCATTCTGGCCAACTTTTCCAGAAACTTACAAGTTGTTTCAGGAAAGGCTGTTAAGCCTGTTCAGCCTAAAGACAGCTGAGAGGGGCCCTCAGCCCTGTCCACCCCTGTCCATCCCTGGGCACAGGAGGGGCAGAGCAGGCCCAGGCTCTGCTGCAGGCCCAGCAATGGCAGCAGAGCCACGGGCAGGGGCTGAGCCCAGGCCCTGCCCTGCACAGGAGGCAGAACTTGTGCCCTGGGCAGTGCCCAGCCCCGAGCAGATTGTGCAGAGAGGCTGTGCAGTCTCCTCCCTGGGGATATTACAGAGCCACATGGACACACTGCTGTGCCCTGGGCTCTGGGATGGCCCTGCTGGAGCAGGGAGGTGGCACCAGAGGAGCCCCTGTGGGCCCCTCCAGCTTGACCCATCCTGGGGTTCTGTGAAAAATAAATCCTGACAGTTTTCCATTTGATTTCTCTTCTGAAATGCTCATCTGTTGTGTCCCAAACTCAGAGAAATATGCATTTCTATTCCTTCTTCCAACCACATGACCTTGGAACCCTAATTCTATGAATGCAGAATGGGAAGTAAACATGATTCTGCAACTAGTCCTGACTATGAAATAAATTTTATTGTCCGTTTTTCTAATACTGTGGCATTAAACTGGGTGTTTCCATAAAAACCACCCTGTCCAATTTTGAGAGGCAGATGATAGAAGTCTTAAGAAGATGCACACCAGAACTTTTCCTATTCCTTTTCCTGTTCCTTTTCCTTCCTGTGTAAGACGGCAGGAAATCCGTGTAACAGGGGTGTAGCTGATCCTTTACACTGTTACAAGCATCTCTACCTCCTCCAAGAGGTTGAGAAGCAGCCACAGGCCAGCTTCTTTCCTTGTAACAGAATATAGGTGTCTTTCTTATTTCTCTAAACAGGAGCTTTGCTTTGAGCTGAATCACAAATGCAAATTTTCAACAGTAGTGTCCCACAGACTTGACACAGTATATCCAGTCATTTACAGCCCAAGTTTGCTTCATAATCTTTCAAGTAGTTCAGGACACAATGGAAGCAACTACAGTAAAGCTCCCTGGGCACTCCAGTCCTCCTGGAAACTTTAGCCAGTTCAACTTGGGCACAAAGCCCCCCCTGAGTCCAGTCTGGCTGCTGTTAAGGCACATTCGGGCCCCTTCTGGAAAAATCTGGTTGGTTATTGCATTTCAAAGGCCTATTCTGAACAAAATACTTGCTGAATCTTTGCAACATGATAATGTCCATGTGAAAAACAGAGTTCATTTTTTAGAATTTTTAAAAGTTTGCTAAAGGGATTAAAAAAGGATAAATATTTAGTGCTGAGGTGTTTTTGGTGATTGGCCAAAAAAACCACAGCTTAGCTTAAAATAATGTTTTCCATATACTGTTACATTACAAAGGATACAAATATACCTTGCATGTATTATTTAAATACTCTTGTGACCTTTTTGATATTTTAGGAACTCTTCTGTTTGATTTTACACTCTGACTTACCTGCATGAGATCTTGTGGGTTAAATTCATATTTTATTTTTTCTTATTTTTCACTCTTGTTGTTTCACACTCTTTGATAAGGAGTTTTTCCTTTAATTCTTCTCTGGTGTTCTGTTTTGTGTCACTGTTATCTTATTACTTTGAGAGGTTGGTAAGCAGATGTAGGGGAAACAAGCATAATTGCTTTGCACCATTCCCTTAGTTATATAGGAGCATTTCAACATTTTGTGTTTTGCTAAGGCATACATAGATATATTCATCACACCACTATTTCTACAAGCTATATGCTGCAAAACAAATAGATTGTGTTATACTAATAAACAGCTAAAAGGAGTTACAAATTGTACCATATCTAAATACTTGGGATTAATAACAGCAGGTGAAAGCTAATACATAAATGCAAAAGCCAATATTATATTGTCATTTTAAACAGTCCAGTTGCTGAAACAAAAGCCAACATGCTTCCAGAGGTTTGTCTTTGTTCTGGTGTTTTCTAGGAGGGCCTGAGGCACTATCGTGGCCTCCAACAGAAGCCTCATTTGTGATTCTTAGTTAAGGTGCACAAATCAAGTGCAATCACAAAATCATGAGGTGTTTGTGTGTGTTTACTCGTACTAAAAGGGTGTTCTTTCAGGGTTAATCCCACACTTTGGTTAAGGTTTCATCAACAATTGTGTTGCTTCGTGTTGGCTGCCAGGACCTGACAACCCTGTCAGCAGAGTAAAACACCAAGCGATGTTCTCACCCCCCACTCCTGCGCTTCTCCGCATGTCTCCACTGCTCTCGGGAGTCACCAGGATTTGCCGCTCAACCACCGGGCCCTCAAACACCCCGGAACCCCCATCACCAAAGCTGCTGTCACCTGCCCGGTGACACGAGCTGCACCAGGGCCGGGGCAGCCGAGCGACGACACGGGACCGCCGGTGTGGGGCAGCGCTGGGGGCTTCCGGGCCGAGCGGGGCCGGGCCGGGCCGGGCCGGGCC